GCATGACGAGCCCAAAGAACGTTTGCGTAGGAGGCTAATCCACCGCCAGATAGCGATCTAACCAGTGAATAGCGTTATCTATCCTTCTACTGAACAACCGGGGCCAGGAGGTTTAAATGTAACAATTCATTTCCATCATAATATATTTTACGGTCATTCCAAGGCCATTCCAGACAGAGGATTTGGCCATATTTAGCCTCAGAGTTAAGTTCTTGAAAGCATTTGAATTTCGATCATTTTATTGCTGCTGCATGGAATTTCTTGAGTCACTAATCAGCTCGTATTAGCACGGAAAGTTCGGATCATCTTTTTATCGATTTAGATCTTTGGCATTCGGTAGATCTGTAAATGAGCCAACGGGCATTGCCTCTACGATTTAGTGAGAGGATATAAGAGGCGAGGTTTAATCTGATCTCGTTGGGAATTGCCTGAAGAGATTATTCTACTGTCATGATTAAAGTTGCTATTTTAGCCTTGCAGTCGACCAAAATCAAACCACTGATTTCCCCTTAGAAATAATTCTGCAATTCTATCAGAAGTATGATGACGCTTTTCTGACATGATGTCTTTCTCGGGACCTCGACTTGATTTCGATATATTTGTTTTCTGTTTTAAAGGGTAATGCGGCCCTATTGTTGTGGTTGTAATCATCCGGATGGTTTGATCAATTCCATATTGTCTGAGCTATTCGGCTTACGGCTTAAAGCAATTTCCGCAAATATTGTCACGTCATGTCACCAATCAATCACATCAATTTAGAAGAGGGAGAAGGTTGTTTCATGGATGGAGGAGGACAGGGGGGGGGGGCAGGTAGATAGAGAGAAAATTTTCACGTCTAAATGTCGGGTAAAGGTTACCAGCTGTTTGAACTGTTCATTATGTGGATCGAAATGCAATATCATTGAAACAACAATGCCGCAGAGTCTAATAGAATGCTATGATTTAAATCTGACAGGTCATTGTCTACAAAAATATTACTCTACTAATAAGTTTACCATATCTCCCCCCCCCCTTCACCTTAAAACCCTTCAGCCATGATCGTGGATGTAATTATTTTTCATACAGTGAACCGAGCAAATGTAGATGTACTTGATTTCAAGAGTATAAACAAAAGTTTTCAAAATGGTTGTAACAGGTACAGTGTGTTTCTTGTAATCAACGCCCTCGATTTATTCCGCCTCGGTGACACTAAAACAATTGCTCTGTTTATTTCGACTCATGAGCTAAAGCTTGTTTACTTTTCGATCGCCTTGAAGCACGATCCTCGGCGCAATTCAGCGTTTTTTACCAGAGATAGTGCCTGATAGATTTTCAATTCTTCGAACGCTAGAGAATAGAAAAATTGAAGAGTCGTTACCGCGATAAAAATCAGTCATTTGATAGATTTTCATTCGGATGTGAAGGTATCAGAGTATCTATTACCGTAGATTCTTATCCACATAACTTATGAGCTTTCGAGATCACTGATTAGTTCACCAATTGGTCGTTGCGATAAGAAACTGGAAGATTCAACTCCGTCGCGTTGTTGTATCTTTCATTAGTCGGCGGTAATTTTCGCACTAAAATACAGAAAGAATTCAATTTTGAAAATGTTTTTTTTTTTTTTTAAGCTGACGGGATGGTAAGGTTCTTAGGTAACCTAATCCAACAGTGATAAACAACTATGCTCTTAGACAGCAGTTTTGCATTTTTATAGTTAAACATGGCTCATACCTTTTGAATCTCGTTCTCTAACTGGCCAAGTTTTTGCCTCAGTTCCGTGTTTTGTAGCTCCAGTTGCTCGGCCTTTTGGCACGTCTCAGTCAAATCCGTCTCCAATTCGTGCATTCTTTCATCTTCGCCGATCTCGACGTTCTCAAGATCGCGGACGACTTCATTCTCCTTCTCGTACTTTTCCTCTAACTGGCCACTTTTCATTTTTCTCTCCTCCAGTAGCGATAACTTCTCATCCAGCTCTTTCGAAAGGAGTTCTTTTCGATTTTTCATCGAGTCTATGTCGGATTCATTCTGATACGCTTTTGCCAGTATCTCTTTGAGTTCCCCTCTAGCTTCGTGTTCCCTATTTTCAGCATCTTCAATTTTGTCTTTTATCTTTTGCATTTTCTCGCGAACCTTAAACAAAACGTCGCTCGACATTTTGAATAAATTCTTGATGAGCTCTCTAAACTTCTGTAGCAACGCGATACAAATGAAGAACGGGAGAGATGTTGAGGTGGTACCCCCCTTGAATGTTGTGTCAAACGATCGTATGTTCGGCTGGTTTATTATTTCGTCAAAATACGCAAATATTCCAAGAATGCTACTGGGTGAGTCTTAAGTGGTCGGGAAAAGATAATTAAGGGGGACGAAATACAAAAATGAAAAGCTTGTCGTGACCCATTAACCTATTGTTAAATAGCACTGTATCGTTTGACAATGATCTTAAAAATTTTGTTCGAAAGTTCTGGTATTTTGCCGAGTGAGCTTGTGGCTTAGCGTTGAAGGCTGGAAATCTAAATTTTCGTTCAAAATGACTTGGCAATATTTGTAACTGTTAGTTAGAGCTTTGCTGAATATCGTTTACAATTTGAACTTTTTGTTTAGATGCACTGAATGATGCAAATGAATATCTGCAGTTAGTTAATAACTAAAACCGGGAAGGGAGGGGGGTGGGGAAGGAGTAGTCTGCTTTGCTTTACATTGCTAGCAATTTACTTTGCATTTCTTGCATTATTAAGGTGAGTTTTCGGTCTTTGCATATGAGTGTCTCTTACTGGCTTTGGCAGCTTATAACCAACACTTTACGCCTGAAGATCAGGATGCGGAGGCATTAGATGTTTCGTACCCGGCCCTTCATAAAAGTTCCTGCCTTCTTTTCTTCGCTTCCCCCCACCCCCTCCGGTCGGAAATTTAACCACCTCCGGAAAAGTGTTTCGCCTGTCTTTACTTGGAATCCCACTGAAGGGAAATGAATGTTTTTTTTTTTTAAATATTTCAAATATTTTCAAATATTTTCAAATATTTTCAAATATTTTCAAATATTTTCAAATATTTCGCTTTACTTTTATTGCATCCACGATATTAATCCGCTCGGTTACTGTGTTTGATAGACATAATCTAAAGCTGATTTTCTATGACTGGGACACAAATTCCCCATTGTTTACTGAGTGACGTGTCTAAAATTGTACTAGTGGATTTTTTCGCCGCATTCCATAGGAGGAAGACAGGAAAAGAAAGCATTCAGAGAGCAAACACAAACAAATCGTCCTATTTCGGGTATGATGTTAGGTACGCTGCCCCAAATATGGACAAACGATGGACATAGCCTTTCGCATGAGGCCATCGTGAAGGATTTTTTGTTTTCAAATACTTCCAACGTTTAGAGCAGATTTTTACTTCATACGATTTCAGTTTCTATGTTTTCTCTTTAATTTTCAGCGTCATTTTCTGGATTAATCAGAAAATAGGCTCGTTAAGTGACATCTCCCAGTATGAAAAGATGGCCGCACTCGATAATCAGTTCTACTGGTGAAGGTCAAAATTCGTCTCTCTTATTTCATATCGCCATGCTTGTCGCTTTTGAACAATACAAAGCTGTTTTCGGTGACAAGGATAGATATTCGACCTAGTTTTAGGTTCTGGACAACTTAATGGGGTTGGAAATTCCGGGAGTAAAATGCAATTATGAACCTCGCTACTCTTCAAAATCTTATCAAGCGCTCATCTGTTAATTAATAACTCTCTACTTCCATCTAATCAAATATTCATTTGATGGCCGTCATTTAAATTGCTGAAAAGTATTACTCAAAGACCTAAACCGGAATGTTCTCAGCCACATGACACGAAATTGATAATAGAGCTTTCTGGAAATTTATATCGAGAATTCCGGGGTGATTTTCATGTCCTTTTTTGGAATCGAAACGCAGTGCTGAAGCGCATACCCATGGAAGCCAAAATAAAACGTCTATTAGGGGTCCTCTAGGCGCATAGGCTTAAGCTGTGAATTATCTAGTCACGGTTACTTATTGGTACCAGTTTTTTCCCTGTTATTTGATGTTCGCAACAATTTGTAAATTCATTAGGGCACGTTACGGTTGTCTCACGAATCGAATCAGTGCGAAACTGTATTTGTGACGCAACAGATCTTTATAACTAATTATAATTGGAAGGAAGTAAAATCTAAAATAGTCTCGAGCAAAATCTGCCATGCGTGAAAAAGAAAGTATAAAAAAGTGGACATGAAAATTAATCATTCAAGTTTAATTCTTTGCCTGTTTGGATGTCATGTGAAATTGTATCTAGTCACAGCTGTTTACGCTATAGGACAAATAGAAGGTATGACAATTATCTTTTGCAGAACTCCAAAATATGTGTGTTAATCGAACTAACCTTGCAATTTGTTCCCCTCTAGTTTAAATGAAACTGTTTAAACTTTTGTCTTTAATGAATGTGCATTTAACGTTTAATAGTGAAGTGTAGTCATGACTCTGTTTACCAACAAAAAACAATGCTTTCAGATGGACTTGATGATTACCCAAAGATTAATAGTGTCAGGCACAGGTCTAAACGAAACTTCATCGCCTTTAAACGTTATTGGTGGGACTCGAAAACAATCCCTTACGTCTTGGATAAATCATTAGGTAAGGATCATACATTGTATCTAAGCATCAAATTGGTTGATAAGAATAAAAAGGATGTTTGTTCAGAAAGATTGAGCCTATGCTGAGTAACACTATAAAAAAGGCAATTGAAAGTGAGGTAATATAGAACTTTAATTCTGCCTTCGTCTCGATTCCAAGCTGATCAGTCTACCCAGAAACGTATGATTGGAAGGTTACAAACCAAATGAGGGAGTCTCAGAAGAAAACAGTCGGTTTTCGTCCATGCATCGCGTCAATTCATTTTTCAAACTTTGTGCATCATTGTATTAATTTTAACAATTTCTGAAAAATACTTTAATTTGTAAACTATTTGAAGACTCCGATACTGAGATACTTTTTATCTCAGTAAACTCTGTTTTCCTGATTTCATTATCTGAAATTAGTATTGTAATTATTCCTACTTAATATATAGTTCTGTAAATCAGTATTGTAACTATGGCATTGTTTTCTTGGTTTCATTATCTGAAATTAGTAATGTAATTATTCTTATTTAATACTTAGTTCTGAAATTAGTATTGTAACTCTTCCTACTTAATTCTCAGTTCTGTAAGCCTGTTAGCTGTTATGATGTATTGTATGATAATAATTAATTCTACTTAGTATTGTAATTGTAATTCCACTTAGTATGATTTGTATGTTAATCGTAATTTAATGCCTCAATCCACTGCTCTCCTCGAATAGCTGTAAACTCCATAATAAACTACATAATACTAAGCTCGACCATACCATTAAGGGAAATGAATCTCGCTTTGCCTTAGGAACATCAGGGAAGAAGGCCTTCAGGGAGGCCGTCAAGGAGTTTGAGAGAGAAACTTGTCTTAGATTCACTCCTTACGCCGATGAGAAAGATTACGTCTGGGTTCATCGAGGATCAGGGTGAGTTAAAGGGAACGCCATTCATAATTCCGAGAGAATTGAATAAATATATCTTATTAACCAAGTGCGAGGGCCGTACTGGGAGAATATCGGCCCGAGGTCTTGACAGTACGGACCGAGTGCAGCGAGGTCCGTACAAAAAAGACCGAGGGCCGATATTCTTCCAGTACGGTCCCGAGCAAGCTTGGTTAATAAGAGATTTATTATACGACTGAAGTTCAAAGGGACACAAGTGCGGTATCATTCGGGACCATTCGGGACAGTGCCCGGTCCAATACTGAGAGAATATTGACCGGCAATAGAGCATTTTGATTGGTTGATTTTAGTTATTGGCCCTCTGACTTTTTGAAATTCTAACTAAGAGTAGAAATTCATTTTTTAATCGAAGTCTTCCTTGGCGTCGCCGTTGTGGTTTCTTCAGCTCCCTAATAAAAGGTTGGGTTGTGAGGCTGCCACAGATAACCAATAATTATTCAAGTGTTAAGTTTTTCAGACTGGGGCCGAACATACTTAATATTTTTGATTGACGGATTTGTGTACGTGAGTACAATCAAAACTATACTATTATTGCTACTGGAGACATTCCCGACAACTTAAAGTTGATGGCCCAGCTGATGCGGTTATAACTGCAGATGTTTCTGTTAAATCAATTTCCAATGAATACAGATACCTGTTCGCTAAGCCTGAAGCCCTTTCCAATAGTGCAATATTGACTGGCAACTGTCTCAGATGATTGACAAGATCTGTACTCAGTCTTACGTCATAAGGGAGGTGATCAAGCATGTGCAGATCTATAAAATACCCAATCACAATTGTTTAACTCATGTTCAAATCAAATAAAATGATGTAAATTGTGTACAAAAATACATAAAAAGGAAATGTCAGAAGTTATCCATATCGTGGAAGCTCCTTCATTAAAACTTTTTACACCTTAAGATCAGCAAGGAAAACATGACTGAAAAAAAGGCAAACTTTTAATGACCAGAGATAAATATATCTTATTAACCAAGCGCGAGGGCCGCACTGGGAGAATATCGGCCCGAGGTCTTGACAGTACGGACCGAGCGCAGCGAGGCCCGTACAAAAAAGACCGAGGGCCGATATTCTTCCAGTACGGTCCCGAGCAAGCTTGGTTAATAAGAGATTTATTATACGACTGAAGTTCAAAGGGGCACAAGTGCGGTATCATTCGGGACCATTCGGGACAGTGCCCGGTCCAATACTGAGAGAATATTTACCGGCAATAGAGCATTTTGATTGGTTGATTTTGGTTATTGGCCCTCTGACTGTGTAACTGTGTAACTGACTGTGTAACTGACTCGTGTAATAATAACGCATACGATCTCACCACCATTTTTTCCAACCAAATATGCCATTACTTTGAGTGTTTTGAAAATATCTATCCATGCTATAGATGCTCCTCTGCTACTGGGAGATCTGGCGGTAAACATACTTTGTCTCTTGGAAAGGGTTGTCATGCAAAGGGTGTGGTCATCCACGAGCTGCTGCATGCACTGGGCATGATGCACGAACATTGCCGAGCAGACAGAAACGAGTTCATCAGGATCAACATGGAAAATATCAAGCCAGGTAAGCATCTTTGATTCAATGAAGCCATCGTCTTCTCTGAGTGGGTCCTAAATGCAAAACCTGTCGAAGTACTGAGATTGCAATAGATCGACCCCTTTATTTGCGTCACCACAGAGTAGTCAAACCTTGCCAAGGGGAGTTTTATAAGTTCTTACCCATTGAACCTGCATCTTTTGATTCNAGCTTAAAATGTTTCGACAGAATTACTACAACAGTTATTGTTAAATTATACAATCAAAGCTAGTGAATAAATAGCCAGGAATACATTATGAGTTATATGCCAAACATCAAACAAACCTATCAAAAATATACACATAAAGACACACATTTTTAATTTTAGAAAAGAGACACGACTTACATAAAACTATCAATACATTTCCCACATAAATAATCAAAAATAACTTGATAATTAATAATGAAAACACTATTATGCAGTAAATAGAATAAGCGTAAAACAGAGCAAGTATATTAATTTTACAAAAAGAGGCTAACCTTAAGTATAAAATAACTTAATAAGACGGGAGACTTCGACATAATCATCTTCTGACCGTTAAAAATTTAGTAGTAACTCCTTTATCTTTTTACGAAAAGACGAACGTTTGAGTTGTTTAATCAAATAGGGGATAGAATTCCAAATTTGGGCACCAATTCTCGAGAAAGAAGCATACATTGTACCTTTACTAGAGAATTTGACAAAATACGAGTCACTAGAGACTGATCTTGTTCTGTAGTTATGAATCTGACTTGTTTTAACAAACTGATTGAGTATACTAACTGGTGCTGTCTGTTTGTTGAGATCATACAATAAATAACTACAATCTCTGAAAAATAGGCTAGGTTGGGGAAGACAATTCGATTTGAGAAAGAAGGGTACGGTGTGCTGCTCAGCACAAAAAGATGATTTCACTCATTTATTCCTGCAACGATTACAGAAATTTTCGGGCACAAATCCATCACGAGTTGCTTTGAGGCGAATAGCAAAGGATACTAGGATTTTAAGTGGCCAGTAAGAGCGCACCGTCAACGCCATCCATGAAATTAGTAAGAACTTATTGGATTTAACAGGATATAGTTTCTCTTATTTTGATGCAAGAAATCCTTCTCCTTGACAACTTAAGCGTTTATCCATAGAGTGATTGATGCTACCACAATTGTGGCCAAATGATAATGACTTCATTTGTACTTGAATTCTGTTCGGGTGCGTTGAATTGAAAATAAGTCTGTTCTAAATCATACCCCTAACGAAGGGGGGGTTAGGCTAACTTCAGGAGATATCCGTGACAACAATGTGCAGTTGTCTAAAAGTAACATTCCATCAGATAATAACAGACTTGCCATGTCCTGATATGATTTGCCTTTAGAGGCCAGAATTGAGTACCGGATATTGAACGGTTTCGTCAATGGAGAGCCGTACGACTACGGATCTATAATGCACTATGGGTTCAACTTCTTCAGCCTCGATCCCAAGAAACCAATCATTGTCAAGCTAATGCCTGGCGGAAAGCAGATGGGCCAAAGAAAAGGTTTCTCAGGTCTCGATTTAAGGAAAATCAACAGGTTCTACAACTGTACAAATTACATTAGTGAGTATACATATGAAAACTTAAAGATTAGGTGGTAGAGTTGCTTGAAAAATGTCTGAAAGTTGCTTTTCTTTTTTGACTTTGTTTTGACTTTTGTTTTGCTTTTTCTTTTAACCTTTCTCTACAGAATCAATGCCAGCGCCCCAAAAGAAAATTATCAAGATAGTGTCAGGTTAGAAAGGGGTTTCAGAGAAACAATCATTGTAATGTACGCACCAGTAACATCATGACTCAATGGCTATCCGAACCATATACGTTTTTTTCTCGACCAGTGGTTTCTATAACAAAATTAAATTACACTAAATCTAACTACCGAAAATAAATGACATAAACAAAACAATAAGCGACATAAACGCAGCGAAATGAAAATGTAAAACACAGCTGACGGTTTGGATCTTGAAAGAACGCGAGACGCTGCTTAAAGACATACAACACCAAACTACGTAACATAAGGAAGCTTCACGCGCGAACACTATAATATATATGTTGACAGGAAGGGACTGAACCACACCACGTCAACGGACCGCTGGCCCCAAAATTAGTTGTAAAAATCATGACATATGCATTTGCTTCAATCAACGTCAACTCCCTAGATAAAAAACATCTCAAGGGGAAATTTGCCCGGCGAGTAGCGATAAAGAGGTTCTTTTACCAAAAAGTTTTTGATTACTCCTGATCGGCGCTGGGAACAAGCTCCGGCTTCCATGGGTCACTTTGCTCCTAAGACATAATCAATCAACATAATCAATCAACCCCTTCCTCCCCCCTCCCCCCATAAACCAGCCGCCGAGTTAGAGACTCCATAGATTTTTGGGTAAAATTGAAGAACAGCTCCCCACAATATCTGTCGGCCGACTGTCGGCGAACGAAACATAGAAAACACAACGAAAACACAGCAGAAACACAACGAAAACACGGGCTCGTGCAATTTTTTGAGTCTTTGAAAAAATTTACTCGCTAAATCTAAGTAACGAAACTATTCCAATTTCAGCGGAACGAAATGTGTCAGTCAGATACTACACATCAAGCTCACATAAATGAAGATCAATATGGCCAATAATGCCTCGCACTCGAAATTTACCTCTATCGCGTGGTGTTCGTCAAAATTCATTTTGAGGTAATTGTGAAAGTTCAAACTTACCAAGATGACAGTCTATTTACTCGTTTCTGAATTTGCTTTCATTATGTCGGCCAACTGTCGGTGAACGGAACAGTCGGCCGACAGTTGGCCGACAGATATTTTGGGGAGCTGTTCTTCAATTTTACCGATCTTCGCACGATGGCGTGAGCAGTCTATTTCCCCTGCCTCTTGCTAAACGTTAGCCCTCTTAGCTAGATGCTTTATAGACATTCTGGGAGGCAAAGACAAAAATGATCGATGAATTCGCGAGAGGAATGGGAAGAGAAAATGTAGAGGATTTCCCCCAATCGCTTGTTTGCTGCTTTGTCACCTTCATAAGACCACTCATAGAAACGCATGTTACGTGGCTTGGTAATACCCAGCAACTGAGTCTGTTTCAAAGTTTCTCTGAACACCTATTTCTATAAATTTATATATAGGATATTGTGACTTTGAGCGGGGATTTTGTAATTGGGAAAACTGGATCAACGAAGAACAAGATCAGTTTGACTGGAAGTTAGGGACAGCTGTGGTCAAAAATCGTCCTGGAATAAATCTCCAACACCCCTTAAATCTGTCATTTACAGGTAAGCCCATTTGTCTAATACCTTGGATTTTAGTGTTTGTATCGTCTTATCCGGCAAAAATTAAAAGCCATTGGTTAGTGGAATTGGTGTGTCGTTGATAGTACTGTATTTGATTGTAAGTTTCTCTGAGGAGCATGTTTGGTTCTATTGTACATTTGAATTAGTATCGGCCACTTACTTACTGGACTTAAGCATTAGCCTCCACGTGTGCGGGTTGCCAGTAAATCCGTGATTTTTGAAAATATGAATATCTTTTGGTGATAAAAAAAAACCATTCTTGAGTGGATTTGGTCTTAAAAGAGTATACTGATTACCTCACCTAAGCTTCAAAAGGCAATGTTTGTAGTCCTTTCAAAGAATATTTTAAATTGTTAACCCAAGATTTTAATACGAGGAACAGAGGGACCACCGTTGCTCTGCAGAAAGTGAGACTTGACTTTGCTCGGAAAAGTTTTTATTTTTTAGGAGCCTCAGCTTTTAATTTTTTACCTTTAAAAATCAAGCAAATTAGCAGTAGGGTACCACTGAGGGAGTCTTTAGATCAAAATTTGCAGAGGGCATTTAGTTAGGTGTGTAGTCATTCTTATCTTATTCTAGTTTTTATCCTTATATTATGTTATTTAGACAGGACCCCATTGATAACAGTGCTCCTGCACTGAAGGGCTATCCTGTATAAATATTCGTTATTATTATTATTATTATTATTATTATTATTATTTGATTACAGTGTTGATGCGGTTTTATCTGGGACTGTGAAAAAAGTACGTGATCGGTTATGAATAACTAGAATTATTATCCAACTGTGTTTCGTAGAGTACAAATAACGCCCTCATAATAACATCGTACGGGCTCGTCAAAATACTGCACAACTCGTAAAAATACCCAGCGACACTACACAACGAAACGTTTGATGAGATATCTGTAATCGACAGCTTTTCTCCTGTGACTGTCAGCTTTGTGTTTTTTGACATGTACAGATCTTTTATAAATAAGTTCTAACTTAAAATCAAAATTTTCTTTCAAGGAAGTTTCATATTCTTCGAAAAACCGCTGCATAAACCCGCTGAGTACATGAGTAGTGGCGTTCTTGCCAGTGCAGGATTCTTCAAAGGATTTAACTGTCTGAGTTTCCGATATTTTATGAAATCTGGTGGATATCTACGAGTGTTTACAGAGGAGGCCGAGTCAAAAGAGAACAACCCGTATGTTTTGATCTGGGAAAGGACAGGCCCACAAGGAGACAATTGGAATAAAATGGAGAAAACGATTTCGGGCAACTTGATCAAGGTTGAAATACTTTTCTGTTTTTTTTTTTCGCTTTTTCTCTGTTTAAAAAAACACGTACTTACTTTAAGCTCCTTTAAGTTCCCTCTGATTCTTCATTTAATTTTTCGAAAATTACAAACAGATGAAAATACTTATTTAGAAAGGGCGCAATATAAATAAGGAATTCATTTATTCATTCATTATTTACAAATCGGGCTTTTTAGGGAAGCTCTTGTTAAGTGGCATTGACTTTGAGCAGGGTAACATCAAAATTTTCTCGACAATCGTCGATGAACCTCTTCTCCTTAATGATAAAATGTTCTTACTAATTTTGATACAAAAAATAAAATACATTAAGTAGATAAATCTTTTAAGGCAATTCCGAAAGCGTCTTTATGTAAAGATGGTAAATTTTGTCCTCGGTCTCAGAATAAAGAACTAATGAAAAAAGAAATACAATCTCAGTTCCTCAAGAGGACCCAGGAGTCCGTTTGCTTTGTTCCTCACTCGTGACAAAATATATCGGTATCAGGCATCGTTCAGTTACTTTTTTTCTTGTAGATTTGTATCGAAGGAATCAAAAGTCCAGATCAGGATGGATTTGTCGCCATTGATGACATAAGCGTCTATCAGGGAGAGACTTGTGTTGGTAAGTGAAGTCTAAATCAACGTACGTAGCTGAGACAACTTTCCCAGATCAATCAGATGGTCATCATAACAATAATATGGTTGTACGGGGGGATGAATTAGAGTAGAGTAGACATCTATATTTATACAGGATAGCCCCTTCGGTGTAGTAAACACTGGTATCAACGGGGTCCTGTTAACCACCCATCCCACCCCAGGGGAGGACATCCATCACACAGTAATCTCGTGGGTGGGAAATTAACGTCTCCTGCCCCTAACCTTGCAGGAGACGGGACCTCTATTTATTCGTCCCTATCCGAGAAGACTAGAATATCTAACCTAATAATTTGGATATATCAACAAAGTTGAAATGGTAAATTGGCCACCGTAATGATTACAAAAGCTGACATTTCGAGCGTTAGCCCTTCGTCGGAGCGAATGGGCTAACGCTTCCAAATTATTTCGTTACTCCCACCGACGCAGCCCCAAACAGTTTCTTTCGAAACTATCAGCCTTTAGAATATCTAACCATTTCTTGATGTTATAGAAAGGTAGCACATTCTTAATCATTTTAAGACCCTGTGTGTTGGTCCGGCAGGGGCTCGAACCCTCGACCTCCCGCACAACAGTCCAGGCTCTATCCATTGAGCTAAACGGGAGGTTACAAAAATGGGCGAACAACAAAAAACAAAAACATGAAGATGTGCAAGAGATTGTAGGACTAATGGGCAGTGCAGCTTGTCACGTAAAGTAACAATCAGCGTTGCCGAGGTATCTTTTTCATTTTCTTTACTTAGGATGAGGCGTCTTCTATTGGAATCAGGTCACATCCCGTTTGAATCTATTTGTACCACACTCAAAACTGTGAGTGTTACGCACGGCCCACATTTAGAGCTGGATGATCATTTTAAATGGATAGTTTAGTCCACAGTTGATCAAATAAATCGATAAAAAAGGGTCAGAACCTATGATATTTCGATAATCTAAGAATTTCTCGTCCATAATAGGAAGGTTAAGCAGCTTACAACCGTACACCACTGGTAAAAA